TTATTTTAAACCAAGCTCAGGCTGAATTTAGATTCTGGAGCTGTCATCTACTAGTTTAGGATTTATTGAGCAACATAAACCTGGGGGGTTGGGGGGAGTGGAATAGATACTTGAAGTAGGTCCAGAGAAAGTGCTAGTTTCCTGTTTCTCCAACCACCTATTATAAGGACTCATAAGAAACCCACAAACAAAGAAGCAGTGAATTTTTTTAAGTTTTTTTTATGCATACAGAACTGGGGTACAGGCTAGAGGTGCAGGGGTGGTGAGAGGAATCACCAGAAACAGAGTGGGGAGCAGAACAGGCCAACTGACAGGTACACTGCTGAGGGGAGCAGCGGGCGGGTCAGGAGAGGTCTGCCACGCTATGTAGTCACCTCTCAGGCAGGCGGGAATCAAGCTCATGCGGAAGTGTCTTTAGCTTCTTAGTGTTGTGCTTTAACCCGCTGCGCCACCAGGGAGGGCCTAGCAATGCTTTTTATTTTTATTTATTTATTTTTTTTAACCTAGAAGGCCGTGTGCCTCATCTTTTTTGTAAAATCAAGAATACTCCATTGCCTTTTAAAGTATATTGACAGAGGTGTTAATCTCTGTTCCCTTGAGACAAACTTGGGTTAGAGTCTTGCACCCCATTTTCTTAGTCACTGAGCCAAATGGATGCTTTACTGAAAAATCTTGCTGTCCCTAAAACACCCCATCTGCTCTTCCCACCCCCAGCCCCCAAATACCATATCTGAGTTTATCCGATTTCCATTTCAATCAGTAACACATCTAAATGTTTCTGCCTGGTGGACTCAAATTGACCCAGAAGATTCCCAATCTATTTCCATCCAGATATGGAGGTGTCTGCATGGTAAACACCACCCACACACCTGGCACAGCCTGGCATTCTTGTGGGAGCCTGTGCAAGTTGCCCTGGGGCTCAACAGAGCAGAGAGCATACTCTACCCCCCCCCACCAGGTCACACAGGAGAGGGCAGAGCAGGCCAGTGCCCCTGCACCCTCGCCCAGCTTCGTCCTCTGCTGCTGTCACTTGCCCCTCGTCAATGAACGTCCCAGAGGAAGTGAGCAGGACTCCCATCTGTCCAGTTCTCTTCTAGCCTCCTCTTTCCTCCAAGACATCATTCCACACTGGCTCTCTGCTTTGTTTACTGCTTTTACTCTGGCCCTTGGCATCACAGATTTTGTTTTCAACGTGGAAAAAATATTTTAAGTACAAGAAAGTAATCTAGCAAAACCCATACACATAATAGACAAAACTAACACATATTAGTGTATTGTTTGTTTATTTTTCATTACAGGAATAAACTTGACATCCTTTGCACTTATTCCTTGTCCATCCCCATGTGACACTCCTTCATTAAAAGTAAAAACTCTCCAGGATTCTCTTTATATATAAGAGATGTATCTATAGATATCTTTCTCTTTCTCTCTCTCTCTACACACACACACACACACACACACACACACACACACACACACCTTCCCCTCTCCTCATTTCCCATTCTTAAAACATGTTTCTACATATATGTGAATCCAAATTCAATACACTGATCTATTCAGAGGGCATTGTTGTTCACTTTGAGAGTTCCATTTGCATTGTGTGAACATACAATATTATTATTCCCTATTATTATTCTCTAGGTATGCATTAAAAAGTGCAAGGATTGGTCAAAGGGTCATGGACATTTTGATCTTTACTGCACATTCTGAAATCAGTCTTCAGAGAGGTTTACCAGTTCACACTCTCTGGAGGTAGCAGGCAAATTTCTGGGTAGCTGTCGGTTTGTTGTCAGGTTTTTGGGGGCTAGCTCGTGTGTTCTGTGGATGCCTTTCCGAGCCCTACCTTCCAGGTTGAGCTCCCCATTGCCTCTGGAGGGACCTCAGCACAGTGTGTGTACTTTATGCATATACTTAGGTGATTAGCTGACAAAATTACTTTATTTCTTATAAAGTTAACTGTGTGCACTTCCCAAAAAGAGAATTTTTAGTTTCTTCCTTCACCCTTCTTTTCAGGAGAGATCCCTGAGTTTCAGGCAATTGGTATTCACGCCCCCTCCCCTGCCCCCCCCCCGTTGGGCCTGTGCCCTTTCATGTACGCCGCGTGGCTCCTCATCTGCCATCATAGTAGCCCTGGGCAGCGACCTCTTGGGTCTCCTGAGCCTCTACTGGGCACTCTAGACCTCAATCAAATCTTGAAATTCTCAGCGATCCCTGAAGAAACTTCCCAGTACAGTGGGGCTATAGTGTTGGCAGCATGGACCCACAACCTCAATTAACAGCGGCACACGAGATAGAGCCTCACTGCCTTCTCACATGGCATCTTGGACGAGCCCAGGCCAGAGCTGGTAGCACAGCTGGGTCTCTTGTCCAGGCACATGACTTTTTGCTCTGTCACACCTAGGGTGTTGCTCTTTTTGTCATGGCCCATAATGGCATAGCGTCATGTCCTCCATGCAGGTAGCAGCATTTATGGGATACAGAATGGTATTGGAGGAAATGGCACCTTCCTTCCTTTTAGATATTCACCCAAAGTAGCACACATTATTTCTTTTACTATCATATTGAATAATGTGGAGACATATAAAAGAAAGTTTGAAAAATGTAATTGTTGATCTTGGGGGGGTGGCTAGCGCCCAGCTACATTTTGGGAGTTGATTCCCCAACGTGAGGTAGAGAGGAAGGAGATGAATATTTGGCGACGCATCCTTTATAGAGGAGCCCAGTTAGAGGCATTATGCCCCAGTAGCAGGCCTGTGGCTAGGCTCATCACAAAAAGGGGTTGTACTCTCTAAATGCAACATACATACATACATACGTTAGTGCTAAAATGCTATCAGAAGTCCTCATTGGTAGAATCTAGAAAGAGAAGTAATTCCTTCAATGATCAGTACCTAAAACCTTGATAATAGGTGTGACAAAATAGTTCCTGAGCAGATGCCTTTGTATGTTTTGCTGTTTATACACTATGCTAGAAAGAGATTTAAACAAGCGTCACACAGCAGGATATGCATTTGTATCCAAAATCATAGACTAAACACATCCTTTTTCCAAAATGTTTTTTCCTGTCTCCACATTGAAAACAAGACAAAACAAAAAATATGGGCAAAATGTCCACTGGAATAAAGTTATGGAGAAAAATTTTATCCAAGACCTTGACTGTAGAGTGGGTCTGCTCTTCTCTTTCAGAACCTGGAAGCCGTTTGGCTGTCTTTGCAGTGTTAACAATTTGCATTTGTGAATATGCCCAGGTAATAATATCAAAAAGATGTTAAATCAATGCAGATTGTTGATGTTCTTTGAAAACCTCATCCAAGAGGATTTGGTGTTCTTTCTGGAATATGAGTTAAGCTCATTCCACTGCATTTAGCTAAGCAGGTGTTTGTTGAGCAAAATCATGGTACTCAGGGACTATAAGTCCTTAAGGAAAAAAAAAAAATAGCTGCTTCCTGACAGTAGCTCAAAACCTAGTTAGCTCAAAACAAAGTAAATTTGATCAAGTGGGACTGTCATACCTATTAAAGGTTAAACAGTGAGGTAGGGAAGGATAGGAAAATAGACTTATCCCAACAAGGATGACTGAGGAAGATTCCTGAGAGTATGTAGGGCCTGGACTGGATGTCAGCTACTGAATTCTGATAACATGCCATGCCATGGTCCCTTGACAGAGGCTGGCTTCTTTTTCTGTCCGAGGATAGACCTGGGCATAGAGGGAATGCTGATTCAGGCTATGTGACTAATGTTGAATCCTGCTAACTCATTTCTTCTGAGTGGATTGACTCAACACTGAAGGGAGCATTAAGAGCCAAGAGTTTAGATACTCTATTTCAGCATGTGATGAAATATAAATCACTCAGGCTCAGAACTTCATTTTTTGTCAGTTAAAATGTCTTACAAGAAGACTTTTAGAAAGTCTCCTGGACTACTGGAAAGTGCTTTACACACCTCACAGATAATAGAAACTCTAAACACCACCACTGAGGACCAGCTGTGCAACCCAGAGTTATTCATGCACACACAGAATCAGAACATCCATCACATGCTGCTCCCTGACCATGCGAAACTTCTGTTTCCTCACACATGCACGAAAACTGACAAAGAGAGCATGCATTCATAAAAGCTGACAAAGAGAGGGGCTTTGGAAAAATCTTCCTATCTGCCCACTGGGGTGTTTGTGCTTTTCTACAACAAATGTCGCCACAGAACTCAGGGCTTGCACTGCAACACTGCTCTTTCTCTCTTTTGACATCTCCCCAGCTAGACTGCTTGAGAACCTGGCCTTCCGTGTCCAGATGTTTACTGAATTCTGAAGACCCCCCAAAGGGCCCAACTTCTTTTGTTGCTCTCCAAATCACTTCCCACAGAGACTGACCAGTGTCCTGAAGGAGCCCTTCAATAGGGAGGATAAATGGAGGCAGATGAAGACATGACCCCCGAGGCTCACCCACGTCCACACTAACAAAGAGCCTGAGGCACAACCTTGTCAAGAGAATTTTGGTCATCAGTGTCCCTGGGAGAGGCCAAGTCTCCCCCACCGAGCTGCTTTCAATGACTACCATCATAGTGGAAGTACCGGGCATTTGTTAAGGGCCGGGGTGTGCTAGGTGTACCACAAAACATCTAAATCATGGTCGCCAGCCTTTGTGAGGGCTTCCTGATTACAGATGGCAGCTGGCTTTTTCAGGGGAAACCTGGGGCTAGAGGAGGAAGCCAAGGAAGGGCCCCACTTCTGATGACCACTTCCCTCCCAGTGCAGAAATATTTCCTTTTGTCTCTAGCTACAGGCAGTCAAGCCTGGACCAAGGGCCTCATTCCCTTGTGCTGTGATTTTGGGTGTCCATGCTTTGTGAGACCATCAGCTCCTGGTGTGACAGACAGGAATATATGTAAGAGGACTACTGCTGGAAGGAAAATTTTATTTAGACTGCTGGTGAGAAGTTCATACATTTTGTGATGACAATTTTTTTTTTCAAACTTTCTCTCCCTTTCATTTTTTCCTTTAGGCTAACAGAGGCCATAGGGACACTATGACCTTTGTCTAGAGCTGCTGGGGGCTGTGATTTGTGAAATGAAACAGGACCATGCTGCCTGGAAGAAGGAAACGGAAGCCAACATAATAGGGATTAATTAGTTGATTGCTGTTGAGATGGTAACAGCCTTGCCCCTATACCACTGAGCCCGCCATTGCAGGGAAGATGAAGATGAAGAAGGCTTTGTTCAGGTCTCTAGATGCATGGGGCTGAAGGCTTTGCAGCCGGGGGATGTCAACAGCCATAATAATAATAATTTGCACTTATATAGCACCTTTCAACCAGGCACCTCAAAGCGGTTTAACCACATTAATTAATTAAAGCCCACAATTCCCCTGTGGAGAGGAGGAGGATGACTAACAGGATTTGTGATTACAGGAGGGAATGTTTCCGAATAAAGCATTGTCCACTAAATAAAGAGAGTAGGTGTAAAGGAATTGAGGTCTGCAAAGAAGAATTGATTCAGACATGAAATCATGGCAAGATGGGGGAGGCTAAGGGCGGGTGTCAGCATGGGGGTCTGCGCTTGTGTCTAAGGGAAGTCAGTGGTCTCAGAATTTACTGACAGATTCTGATCCAACTGGGAAGCGGAACAGGGATGGTATTAGTGGCATTTGGAAGGTCATTATTCGTACAGCTATTGTAGTGTAAATTCAAGTCTCTCCAGTAGATTGTGTATAGCCCTGCAGAACAAAGATTGTGATTCCTGAAGAATTGAATAAAGACTGGAATGATTCCTTTAACTTCAAAGTGCAAAGCTGTGTATTGGTCAACTAGTAAATAAAGCAATGGATGACTCATAGATTAATTTCATCATTTCTAGCAGACATATCTAGTCCATCCTCTTCCGAGGCCTTCCAACCAAAGCTTCAAGATTGTTTTGGTGCAAGACCTGGGGGCAGCTTCTGCTCCTTCCAAGCCAGGCACCACTTTACCCCAGCCTTTGACATTGGCACCTCTTTTACCTGACTTATTAGTGACCCACATAGGCCTCTAAAGAATCACTTTTATCTTCAGTAGTTTTCAAATGCCTTGATTAAATCAAGTCTTATCCTATCTCATCTCTCCTATTAGTGCCCAACAGCGTCGGTGCACCAAGGATATTGAGAGTTGGTGGAAAATAGTTGCACTGAGTTTTGTTGAGCATCTCCCACGAGCTCAGAAACAATGGCTATCTGCCGTGTCCTGGAAAACTATATGATAACAAATGAAAAAAGACTCTTAAGTACTAACTGTAATATAGAATAAAGTGATAGGACAGATGCATGTCCAAGCCACTGCTGCAAGGACAAGAGGAGGCATGTTGAGTGCCAGCGGTGTGGGTCAGTGGAGGCTCTCCTGGAGAGCGAGCTAGGCTCCAGGTCCTGGAAGGCAAGAAGGATTCCGATGGGCCTGAAAGCAGTGGGTGAGGCTGATTTTCCAGACTGTGGTGATTTTGACTCCCTCCAAACGAGGTGTATTTTGAGAACTTGTGGTCTCCAATAGAACATTTATGAAAAACAAGCTGAGTTTTGAAAAATGATTAAATGTACATTTCTTTAGAATGCTGATGAATTGAACTGGCTAATTTCAAACATCAAGGAACTATTGGAGAAGTAAGGAAAGATGCTTTGTTCTCTGTAACTACTGATTTGGTCTCTCCCTGCTTCTCACTGTCTACCAAGGAAGAAAAGTGAAATGGTTCACTTTACAATGGGGCACTCAGAAGTGTCTGAAAGAGGCATAGAAAAACATATCCCCAGTCCAAGTCTCAAAGAACTAACAGCTTTTGACTTGCTTGACCCCAGGAAATACTATGGCAATGCTATTCCTCCCCAGGGACTCAGGATACCAGTCCCCTCTTCAAGGCTCATCAGGGCGCATCACCACTGGCCACACTTGGGCACAGTCTCTGCACCATGCCAGTGTCACTGGGCATCCCTGCATGTCCAACACACAGTTCACCACCGAATCCCCCTGACAATCTCCCCAAGCAGGACATCTTACCATTGTTTCTTCACTCATGGAGAACAAGGCAAAAAATAGTTCAGTCTGTTGCTAGAAAGTCATGGAATGTAGATTGAACATAAGCAGCCATGCTTCTCCACTTGCCGCTCGCCCAGGTATTGACATCAGTTACAGCCTCTCCTGGTTCTTGTTTCACCACAGGTCAGTACTACAGACGGCATAGGAACTCAGTGAATATTTCCAAATAACAGAACCACTGAGAACCATATGAGTGGTTTGAGCCCCTGAAAGAAGTGGTTCAGGAGACTTGGACAGTGGTGCTGAGACTGTAGTGGAGGCTCCGTCATGCCGTCTTTGCTCTCCACCATGATTAAAGATCAGGAGACATGCATAGGAAAGTTGCCCCAGGGAAGCCAGTAAGAAAGAAGACACAGATGTATTCTTCCCCATGAGCTGAAGAGCTGCCAAAAGGGTACCACCCATGAGATGCATCTTGTATTATTAATTAGTTTTATTGAACTTGGCTGCTACTCGCTGGGCCTTTTTCTAGGTATGTTTGTGCATATCCATATTTATGGCCAAGTCCAATTGTGTCTCCCTCCTTGTGGTAGCGTCCTAGCTATTCTGTTGATGTGCTGCTGTTCTGGTGAAGATTCAGACCTGGGTTCCTGATCAGCTCACAGAGTGAACATTTCTAGATTGACTCAGAAGTGCTTTGAACTCTGTGTTTTATCTTTTTTTTTTTTTTTTTTTGTTATAGGTTGTAAGCAGTTACTGTTTAAAAAGAGGATTGTGAATGTTTGTCTGGCAAAACCAGGATTGCCAAATGAAAATTCGAGAGATTGGAGAATGAGGATTAGGTCATGGGAAAGAGGGAAATGAAGACCAAAGTACCTGATGCTGGCCTAAAAGTTGTAGTTTTAGAACTGCTGGCATGTGTCAGGTATTTTTTCCCCTGGTTTTCCTGAGCTTTGGTTTTAATATTGTCACGTTACTTTGTCTTAGAGCTCTGAAAAGACTTTATTCTACTACAGAATTCAGCAGAAGCCTCTTTGGTACAAATGGAAGGAAGGAGCCCATCACACTTCTCAGATGAGTAAGTGTGAGTGAGTATATTGGCTTCTGCTGAATTTGAGGAAGGACAGGATTCCCATGGCGTACAAGTCCTCCAGAGCTTCAGATGACCAACAAGTAGCAGGCACAAGTCAGGGGGAACATGATTTTGCTGCCTAAACAACCTCAGTGACCAGAGCAAAGTGATGCATGTGAGAGATTGTTCCTATGTGACTGCCTGCTATTTCAAAGTGATGCATGTTCCACAATCCATTGCTTAACTGTGCACTGCCAACTAAGTACTGCCTCCTAGAAATGATACACATCCCTCCCTCACGGCCAAGCAGTCATGTGACCACTCGCAACTTCAAGGAGGCAGGAAGCACAGACATTTGGAAAAGGAAGAGAACGCGTATCAGTGAACACTCATCGCGTCTGCCGCCTACTGCTCTCCCAGTGAGCCGGCAGAGTCTCCCTCTTTGGCAGTTACTCCTTTCTGTATACCTGTAAGGAACACGAGGTACTCAGGCTCCTTTCACCTCCAGCCACCAGCCTCTATCTACAGCTGCTACCTGAGGCTTTGCTTTCTGCCCAGGTTTCATTGCCCAAACGTGCTGTTTGGGAGGATACTTGGGAGCGTGAGCATGGGGCGATGTACCTGTAATCATGGACACCCTGGCCAAGAAGTCAGCACACAGGGCATGTGCATGTGCAAATGCAGAAGACACTTGGGCCAAGTGGAGGGGCAAGGGATAAAGGGGAGATGGCTGGGAAGATGGTGTCACTCTGAGGCCAGGGGCTCATTGCTGCCTCCTACCTGCTGGTCTCTGTGTCTTCAGCACTAAGGCCTGACGAATCTATGAGGGTCTAAAATTCTTTTTGTCTGCCTGAGTCAACAGTGAACCTACCCAGCCTGGAATGGTTGCACAATACCTTTCCCCTGCCTGGCATATATTGGAGATTTTTGGGTTAGTGTAGAGGAAGGAAGACCAAATAGTTTTGCAGTCCATTTAGTCCATAGGTGACCTTTTTGTAAACGAGGAATAGCTAGGGAAAAAAGTTAACTCTAGATACTTTTCCCTGGAAGCTATCTAACACTAATAATTCTAGGACAGGATAACTGGTTAAAGGGAATCACAGCCTGATTTCAAAAATACATCTAAGGTGAACAGCTCATTCTGTGTTGCCTGCAACCTTTATCCTTTGTGTGAAAAGATTCTGGAGACATGCCTTTCTACCTCCTTTCCTCCCCTTGTTACCAGCCATGATTCAAGTTCCCTCTAAGCCTTGTGACTTTTTCAGAAAGCAGCTCTTAGCAATAACAGCAGCAGGGAAGAGAGAAGAGAGAGAGAGAACTTTCCCTTATTATTCTTCCAATAATGAATTCCTGCTCTGAGTGTGTTCCTTCCATGTGTTTTCTGTCAAGTGCTGATGGCAGCCTTGCCTGGGGACATTTCCAAGAGACTGTGGACATAATGGATAAGCTCTTATATTGACAAGAGCTGCTCTCAGTTTTCCTTCTAGTATATCCCCTCCTGAGCCCTGAAATCGGAGATGAGAAATGATTCATGAGATTTTGCTGGCAAACCAGCTCAGCTGCCACACCTCTTTGCTTCTTTAACTAGCTAAATATTCGTAGTTTTAAAGTTCCCTCTGAGAGACTTGTAGGCCTATAGCTTGGTAACTTTAAAAGGACTTAACTTCTCAAACTAGACCAGTTCTCTGTATTTCTGAGACCTCCTTTCTTCAGGACTCAAAACACAGACAGAGCCTAAGTTCTGACATCATAAGAACAAAAGGAGAAATTAGGTCGCACATTTCCTGCCTAAAACCTAATCACAAGTACACGGAAACTTCCGAGTCAGCAGTAGTGGTAGATCGGGTTTGCTAAGGAAACTGGACTAGCTTTCTCCAAAGTACATGTCTTCAGATGGGAATTCAGTTTCAACTACCTGCATGGAACGTACACAAAATGATGGTTATAGTTGGGCTCTTTCATTGTAAGTATCTCAGTTGCCTCAAGTAAAAGCGGTAGGTGTAAAGGAAATAGGTGGCCTCAATTGAAAGCCACTGGTTCAGAGGCAGCTCCGGGAATTCATTACCGTGGACTCCCTGCTTCCGTCTGCACATCTGTCCAAAGTTATTCGCTCTCCCAACAGACATGCCCTGCAGACTGTGTTCAGCTTACTCAAGACTTGATCTAGTATAAGGCTCATTCAGATGTCTCTCGTTCCTCTCACTATACCTCAGCCTTCCAACTTCAGTTCCCATTGACTTTTTCCCTTGGCTTTTTCACATTAAAATTCCTAAGACAGAATCTGGCTCAGATGCATCCCATTGTTTTATCTCAGACGACATTCTTGGTCACCAGCCTGTTGCGGATCAGGGAGGAGCTGAAAACACAGCAGCCTGTATGTCAGCAGATGCAGGCCTGGCAGCTCCCCGGAGAGGGCCTGCGAGAGAGTGGGGGCCGTGACAAGCTCTACTGCACTCTGGGTGCCCCTACCTGGGTTGCTGCAAGCATCCTCAAGCTCTCTCTCTCTCTTGCTTCCTCCTCCTCTTTTCATCACTGTAGACCTGGGCTCTTCACATCCTGATACAGACAAGTCGCCTGATATTGCTCATCCCCCCACCTGTGATTCAGGTATCCTCCCTCAGACCCTGTTGAGATGCCCAGTCACAGAGTCGTAGGACAAGTATGGAGGAAGAGCTCTTAACATTTATTTGAAATATAAGGAAGATTGAGTAAAGGATGGTAGGAAATGAGAAATGGAAATAAAA